GCCTGCTGGGGGTGACTGACGGCCAATGCCATGGGGTCACTGTGTCATTTGCAGAAACTGGGGAAAGACGTGTGTTCGATTCAGAGACTCGAAGTGCAGACAACGTTGACTAATGAGCAGGATGCAGCCGCTGCACCGAGGAGCGTGGCAGCCCAGAGGTCCACAGCGGCGAGAGCAGAAGGCCACGCACTCGGCCCACTCCAGGGGACGGTGGACCTCAAGGCAGCCCACAGTGGGCACAGCGCCAGAGTCCGGGCGCCGAGACCCAGCCCTGTGCCGACAGCGTCCGCAGCTGCCGTGTCAGGGGGCGGGTTTGTCCTGTCCCTGGGGGACGGGCAAAGGGGCTTCCAGAAAGACAACAAGAGGATGCTCTTGGCCTAAGAAAAGGCAGGCATCCCTGGCAATGTCACAGCAGCGAGGGCAGTGATGCCCCGGGCCAGAACGCATGACAGGTCCGCAGGTCGCCCTTGGGCCCAGCCGTCGCCCGAGATGACCACCGAGGATCTGACCCAGGGAGAGATGCCCAGAGAAGGGTCACTCCAGGAACAGCCACACGGTCAGGACCACCCAGTAGGGTGGACAATACTAGAAAGCTCAGGCGGAGAGCTGTGCAGTACCGTTTTTCAAATCGACTTATTTTCTTTGTACAGAATTATTTAAGCATAATCCGTTTTGAATGAAAAAATTCACAAATAAACTGCAATTGTGAAAGGGGGTGATCTGAGTTAGTGCTGGAAGGGCATTAGTCATGATCCCCGCAGTTTCGGGTTTAGGTCGAAGACCCCTGTTAAAATGGAGCCCGAGCCAGAAAGAAAAAGAAGAAGTCGGATGGTTTCACTTCATTGCACTAGGAGGAATGTAGGGAGACCCGCGAAGGGAGTGGGAAAGGAATAATTACAATAAACTAGAAAAACAAAATTCACAGGTGCTTCTAATCGGAGACATGGGGGAGGGTGGAGACTGGGGTGGCGGGGTCAAAGCCGCAGGGGAGCGCACAGGGAGCAGGGTGGTGGTGCGGGGGAGGGTCGGCGGGCGTTCTGGGGGGCTGCACCTGAGAGGAGGGAGCACTGTACAGGAAGAATGATGTAAAATGTATATAATTTTTTAAAAAGCAATAAAAGGATAATTATACTTTTAAAAAATATGTTGACGACAGAGTGAAAGCCTCAGGGAGAGGCACAATCTCCAAAGCCGGGAAAGGGCTTCAGGGCCGTAAAACAAAAATCTTCAAAATCCAAGAAGGCGAGAA